AAACCCTAAACCCAAGCCCTAGACCCTTAGGGTTTAGGGTTTGGATGCAAAGCCGGCTGCTGGCGGCCATGGTGCACTCTAGTTGCCTCTGGCTTGAGGCCCCAAGGTCTAAATCTCCTTCCACTAAACCCTAAACCCGAAACCCTAAACCCTAAAGTGCAAAACCCCGAACCCTTCATGCCACGAATTCAGCCCTGAAGCGCAACAACCCTACATGCCCCAACTTTGCTAGTTTGGGTCCAAAGAGGTATTTTTTGATTTGTGGACCTCAGTAATGAGAGTCGGGTGCTGGTGGTATAACATAGTACATTAGTATTGGTATTTCGGGACAACAGTGGGATGCCATGGTGTAGATCGTCAGAAATTCATATTATCTGAAGCATGACGAGTGGGGCCCTAAACCCTAAACCCTCAGCACTGTTTAGATGAGGACGCTGTCGCCGGCTCTCCAACTTACCAGTTCACTGGGCTACTGCCGGCCTACAACACGTCTGCCCGGCACCGGTTTTTGCGGTTTAGGGTTTTTGGGATTTAGGGTTGAGGGTCTAGGGTTTAGCCAACCCTAAAGCCTAAACCCTGAACCCTAACCCTAAACCACCAAACCGTAAAACCCCAGACACCCTAGATCCCAAGTCCAAAAATTTCCATCGGGTTCCTCAAACCCTAAATGAACCCCTAAACCCTAAACCCCTAAACCCTAAACCCTAAATCCCTAAACCCTAAACCCTCAGCCCCAAATCCTTAGGGGCCAGATCCCTAAACGCTAAAACCTGAAGCCTCGAAAGCCTCACAACTCCAAACTCAAGTATCCCTAAACCCTACACGGTTTAGGGTCTAGGTTTAGGGTTTAGGGACCCTAAACCCAAAATGATACGATTCCTTAATTAAGGCTCCTTATTAGAAGCAGAATTAACATGTACACCAAGGGGGTCTGTGGTTTAGGGCGATTTCTGTTTAGGGTTTTCTGATTCCGAGTTTCGGGTCTGGAGTTTGCAAAGGGCCAATGTTTTGCACCTTCCGAGCTGAAACCCGAGCAAACTGCGCAACTCTTGAGCAAGAGCTGGGTTTCGACCACCTAACATAGGAGCCGTATATCAGAAGCCCCAATACTGTCTAGGTTTTATAGGTTTGGGGTTTAGGGTTAATATCGGAGCCTTAATAATTAGCATCGGGTTTGGGGGCATGGACTACTGTATATGGACTAAATACTAAAGACCTCAAAATGGTATTTGTAGTTTGTGAGGTCCCTGCAGTAGACCCTAAACCCCGTAGACCCTGATAGACCTCACCCTAAACCCTAAACCCTAAACCCTAAACCCTAAACCCCGTAGACCCTGATAGACCTCACCCTAAACCCTAAACCCTAAACCCTATGCCCCGTAGACCCTGATAGACCCCACTCCTCAGAGACTCCAATATCCCTTAATTCAGGAATACACCTTAAATCATGTTAAGGATCCTACAGGTATATTCCTTAATTCAAGGATATTGGAGTCTATGGGTCCCTCGACCCTTGTGGGGTTTAGGGTATCCCTGAACCCCCGAGCTCTCAACCCGAAGCGGCAGCCCTTAGAATCCTAAACCCCTATCCCGAAATCTAGAGCCCGAAAGCCTAAACACGGGTTCTTGTTAAGGAGGTTTGGTTAAGTTACCATAAAAGGGATCTATGGTGAATAGTATGGTTTCCTTTCTGCCGTAACTTAAATTAAATCCCTCAACAAGAACCCAGTAGACCCCAAGCCCTAAGGTGACCCTCAGGTGCAGACATTGCCCAAAGGCCGTAGAGAGTATGGCTTCGTCCACGTTAAGATATGGCCGAAATACCCTAAAGCCCTGAGCCCCAAACCCTAAAATCCTGTACCCTAAAGCCTAAAAGCACCAAATCCAACACCCTAAACCCTAAACCACCACAATCTGGACTCCTAACAGAACCCCCTCCCTGCATACAGGAACCCTTAAAGGAACCCCTACAGGCACCCTTAAAGGAAGTCTTCTCTCTGCACTGATGAAATCATTGTCAAGCGTTTAGAACGGAGATACACAGCTGATCGAATCGGTGATGTCGAGGACATGGAGGATGCATGGTCCACAATTTCCATGGAAGTTCATACAGGGTCTTCGGATGCTGCTGACGGGAGCCGGCTTTTAACCGCTGATGTCTGAGTGTGCATCCGAGACAAAACAACAAACCAAAAACCTTAAACCCTAATTAAACCCTAATCCCTAATTAAGCCCTCAACCCTAAACCCTAAAACCCTAAAGCCCTAAAGCCCTAAACCCTAAACCCTAAACCCTGAACCCTGAACCCTTAAACCCTAAACGCCAAAACCCTAAAGCCCTAAAGCCCTACAGCCTAAACCCTAAACCCTAAACCCCCAAAGCCCTAAACCCTGAAACCCTAAAACCCTAAAACCTCAAAACCCCTAAAGCCCTAAAACCCTAAAACCCTAAAACACTAAACCCAAAAACCATTAAACCCTAAATCCTGAAGCCCTAAACCCTAAAACCCCAAACCCTAAAACCCTAAAGCCCTAAAGCTTAAACCCCTAAAACCCTAATTAGTAAAACCCTAAACCCCAAACACCCCAAAGCCCTAAGCCCTAAACCTGAAACCCTAAACCCTAAACCCTAAACCCTAAGAAGGACCCTAAAAGGGACCCTAAGAAGGACCCTAAAAGGGACCCTAACTCCTAAACCCTAAACCTTAAACCCTAAAGCCTAAGCCCTTAACCCTAAACCCTAAGAGGGACCCTAACTTAGAGAACTACCCATGTCACGTTGCCAGGCTCGCCGGGCTGGCCACCATCCTCAACCCTGGTCCGGCTCCCGGGTTTTAGGGGTTTCGGGTTTATGGTTTAGGGTTTAGGATTTAGGGAGTTAGGATTTAGGGAGTTAGGATTTAGGGAGTTAGGATTTAGGGGTTTAGGGGTTT